GCACTTGTTACTAGAAGCGATGCACTTGTTCCTAGTAGCTTCTTGTTGCTAGTAGCAATTTCTGGAAAAGCTTGTTTTTGCAAGGTCCACTATTCTTAGATCACAGCAGGAACTCAGTGGTAGCATGTGAGCGGTGAAGAAGTTTGCAGTGTGGCTATGACAAGCATCAATCAACGCAGCCAAAAAACACAAGGCCTTGGGTCTCCTTTGATAGGGTCCCTTTCAAGGGAGCTTTTTGTTAAAGGTATCCAAACACAATTCCCTTTTTTGATGGGTCCCCTTTGCAACATTCTTATAGCATCTTATAGCTTTATATTGTTATAGCTCCTTTCTTTTATTCTCTCTCTTCTCTCTCTCTCTCTCCCTCTCTCTCTCTCGCGCTGAGTTTTCCAGCACCCATCGTGGAGGTGATGCATCCGGATCTGGCCGGCGGAAAGTACTATCGAAAGAAGGGCAAGGTGCATGCGTACTTTTTAGCACTACCACGCAAGAATAACGTGCATGCCTTGAAGCATAGACCCATCAGCTTGCCAAGCTTGGTGTCGACATCGATCGTCTTGCGTGGAGGTTGAGCGGGTACGTCAGCAGTTCGCTGCTGAGATCCGAATGCTGGAAGGAAGGCGTGGTGCACGTGGCTGGCCGACATATTGCACAAATTACTCCAGCAGGATGAATGAGTCAGCTTGTTTCGAGCACTGAGCTTACTCTTCGCGGTTTTCCAGCGTTGAGCTCGTTGGCTGCCTGTTGCAGGGATTTGATTCGTTTAGACCAAGAGATGCTGGAGCACGGACCCCAGCCGTGTTGACGCTTTGGAAGGTGCATAGATGAACTCGCTAAGGACCGTGATACCAAACCTGGGCAAGCCAGTCAAGGTAGACTTGCCCTAAGCTTTCAGGTCCTGAGCTACCTCACAAGCTGCTTGAGCTTTGTTGAGCTGTGTGAGTCAATCCTAGACATCGTCTCGTTGTTTTATTCTATTTCTACGTGCCTGACCTGACAAAGGTAAAAGGGCCTTTCAGTGGCAAAACCGCCAGGATGAGGTCTGCTTGCGGAGCCTAATGCCAGGTACATCTCTACATATATACGGTATATATATTGGGAGGGCCCTAAACCAGCTAAAGCATGGCCCTCTTTACGGATGAAACGTGAAGGTTTGCTAGGTGTGATTCGGATGTTAAAACGCATTTTTTCCACAACGTTTTCTCCTTTCAAAACCATGTTTTCCACAACATGTATTGGCTTCAAAAGCATGTTTTCCACAACCTTGTTCCCCTTTCAAAGCAATGTTTTCCACAAACTGTTGTGGCTTCAAAAGCCTGCTGTCCACAACCTTTTCCCGCTTCAAGACCTACTTTTCCACAAGATGTTGTTGCTTTCAACGTCTTGTTTTCTACAAAGCTCGCTCTACCTGAAGGATTAAAGGATGGTTAGAGGACAGGGCCATGTCCAGTCTTGTTGAAAACGGGCTGCTTGGCCAACCGCTCATTCAAACACTACAGTCAGCAACAATTGATACTGGTCTGTACATATGCAATGTTGTGTGACCTTTGTTGTGGTACATCATCGAGGACGGGCCGTCTCGGACATTTCTTTTGCTCTTAAACAACGACTAGACTACTAGACTATATACAACTGGGAATCTACAACCAAAGCTATGGCTTAGGCTATGGCCCATGACAACAGACCTGGACCAGACTTACTCGACCCTGAGACGCCATGACTCGCAAACAAGAAAATATTAATGATAGAATCAACCCGAGTTTCATAAGCCGCTCTCAATCGACGATCATTCCATTAAAACATATTAATGAGAACTGTAACTGAAGTTCTAACAAACTCACCGGTTGACAGTTGACAACCTAAACTACAAGCCACAGGTCTAGCTGAGATTTAGACAGCGTCCGCTTCTAGTGCCAATGAATGCCGCCTATGTGACGCAGCGGCAAAGCAAAGCCGCCACTTCGAGGGGGAGGAGAATGGAAGGGGGTCGGGAGTGAAGCAGCCAATCTGAGTCAATTTTGTGTTTGAGACGGTTTTTACGATTGTCCACAACAGGCACTGCTTGCACTGCAGAAGTATCGGTTTTTGCCACGTCAGCTAAGAAAGTAGCTGGTCCAGTTGCCGCCATGCCCTTTCTTCCACAGATTGACGAAGCCCTGATGGCTGGCTTCTACCGCGCTTTGCTGCTGGGCTATGACCTCAATGTCGAGGCCATCAAGGTTGCTTTCGACTATGAACTTGAAAATCTACGAGAATGCATCCTCTACTGCCAGCGAGTGAACACAGACAATGTTGACATTTCAGACCTGCTGGCCTACACGATGACCTTGCTGACACACGCAAAGTGTGCTTTTCAGAGTGCCGACAAAGACGGCAACTTCAAAGAACCACCCTTGCCACAAGTGTTGGACTACCAGCGTTACAACTCCACGGCACGGGTAAGGCCAATGGCGCATAAAATCCGTGCCCTTGGCTATGATCCGGAGCTGAAGAGGACAGAAGTTGAGAAAGCCATCCTGGTCTTGCAGTCTGAGATGTTTGTCAGTGAAGATTTCCTTGAGGACAACGACCTCCGCGACTTGTTTCTATTCAAGTCTTAACCTAATGCTTCGGAACAGCATTGGCCCTGGCCCTTGGCAAACTGCGGACTTAGTCCCCCGTGGTCCATGGAGCAAATAGAGAGTTTCTGGACAACTTAGCCGCAGCCTATGAAACACGTTTGGGCCCGTTTGGACTTTGGACAGTTTGGACTGCGCAAATATTTGACTAGATGCAACTGTACCAAATTTGTTTCTATCGTGTTTAGTATTTAGACTAGATGTATTTTGTTTAATCACTTACAGTATTGAAGGCGAAGTCTCAAGAAAAAGAACACCGTTTCTGGCAGCTTCAGTGGGCGGTCATGGGCCCTTTGTTTCCTGTCATTCCTTTTTCCTTAGGTGAAGTCTTTGAAGCTGCTTCGGCCATCCTGGATGATGTTGGAGTGCAGCTGAACGCGTGGGCAAATGCTGTGGTCAGTGCCAAGGTCCAGAAGGTTTTGCCAAGGAAGAAGAAGTGAGACGAGGGCGGCAGCGGCTAGTACTGTTGGGGCGCCTTTTTGGGCGGGGGTTAGCAGTACAGGATATGATATATAGTTAGGCAGTGGCAATTTTGGCTGATGATTGTTGTCTACAAAGATCACCACCAATGCGATGCGTGAATTGTGGTCCATGAAAGGACGTTGCAGTGATGGAGTGGTGGCCCGATTGATGGTGAGCAAAACAGATTGATCTTGTTGTCCCGTGGCTTGTTACGCTGTCTGAGCTTCATGACTCATGTCATGTCAGACTGTTTGTCACTGTTGTCTCATTTGCATCATTTGCAAATGCTGCAAAGGAGCTGGAGCTACGCAGCATGGATGATGAGTCAGAGGTTGACCTTCTTGAAGATGTCGATGGTTTGGACAATGATTTGTTGGAGGAACAGATGTGGAATGATGTGGCTATTATTCATGTTTGGAAGTTAAACATAACATAACATAACAGAACTATCAGCCTTTTTGATCTAGGCTTTCGACATGTGCTGTGTACAAACAGGCCTCGATGTATCTTTGGGCTTGTAGGATAGCATGTGACAATGTAACACGCCCGCTAGCTGCCAACTGCCAACAGTTACATGTAACAAAAGACCAAAGGTGCGGAAGCGATGTGTGATCGGTCTGAAGCGATCATCGACCGTGCTGCAAGGATTTTCCAGATGCTCAACTTCCTCAAGACCGTGGCAGCCCCCAGCACTGCTTTGACCTGCTTGAGGCATGCTTGGGGCAAGCAGTCGTAGCTTCAGTTTTCTGTTTTCTGGAAACTTGCTGTAGGGGATGGCTATGATTCATATTCATATTCATATTGAACAAACACAGTGATGTGGTAAGATACTAGGTGCCAGTGATACAAAGAACAGATCTCATAGAGGGTTGAGGTTGAGTTTCATTTGTTAGTCGTTGGTGCTTGTGTTGTTACTTTGGGTTGGTTTTGAATGTTTGCAAACGGTGAGTGCACGCTGTGAGGACTGTGGTGGCGATGTTTCGGGAGAAACAGCGCACCAGGAGAGAAATTTGTTTTAGTTTATCAGCTGCGGGGAGCAAACACAGAATGATCAGAATGAATGAATTAACCAAACCGTTAGTTCGTTCACTTGAACAAAGAGGTCAAAAGGGTCAGAGGGGGTGAGGCGAAACAACTGACTCATAGACCACATGGCCACACATGTCACACGACCGTATCAGCGATCCCATATTAATCATATAATATATCATACATTACATATGTAATGTAATGTATCATATGGTCCTATGGTCCATATCATCTATGGTTGTCACATGTGGGCCCAGTGGTCTGCGAACAACGATCGCACAAGGACTTTCCAGATGCTCAACTTCCTCAAGACCGTGGCAGCCCTCAGCAATGCTTTGACCTGCTGGAGGCAAGCTTGGGGCAAGCAGTCATAACTTGAGCCTTTTCTTGTTCATTCTGGGAAACTTGCTGTAGGGAATGGGTTTTGATTTATGATTCATAATATACTATTATCGCATACTCAGTAAGATACGAGATGCCAGTGATACAATAGACAGATCTCATGGATGGGGGTGAGGCTGAGGGTGATGCTCTAGTTGTTTGTGTTTGCGTTGTAATTTTGAGTTGGTGTGACTCGTGTGACTGTTTGCAACGCTCAGTGGACGCTGCCAGGACTTTGGCGGCGATGATTCGGGAGAAGCAGCGCACCAGGAGAGCCGTTTTTTGTTTCTCAGCTGTGAGCAGCAAACAGCTGAATTATCAACCAAACCGTTAGTTCACTTGAACAAAGAGGTCAAAGGCAAAGGGGTCAGAGGGGGTTTAGGCGAAACAACTGACTCATAGACCACATGGCCACACATGTCACATGACCAGAGTCATATTAGTCATATGGTCCATATGGTCCGTACCGTATGGTTGTCACAGGCACATAGTCCCAGTGGTCTGCGAACAACCATCGTGCAAGGACCTTCCAGATCAACCAAACCGTGGCAGCCCTCAGCAACGCTTAGACCAGCTGGAGGCAAGCTTGGGGCAAGCAGTCGCAGCTTTAGTTTAACATCCTTCTAGACAGGGCTTTGAAACAGGCAAGTAAAGTAGCAAAAACTCGCCGCAGTCAATCCACCAATGACGGATTCCCACACCACCAAACAAACGGTTGGTTGATGCTCCACATAGTCACGTGACATAGTTCTGTGCTCGCCATGTGCTTTGACATTAGGATAGTGACAGGAATTCGGAATGAAACATCACCTAATGTTTGTAACGTCGTAACTGGTAGTCTGGTAGTGAATGCAAACTCTTGGATTGAACATTTATTTTCTTGCACTCGATGATTGTGCGACTTGTGGTTTGCAAGTTTGTTGCCATGCATTGCAAAGCCCTGCACGTTTCTTTGCGACAGGGCCAGGCCAGGCGTACAATCAGTAGAAACCGCGTACTTCAGCACACACTCAGACTGAGACTCTTGACTCGACTCTCAACTCAGACTTAAATGAACAGTTCATTGCCTCGACTAGGCGGTGCCACAAGAATCTACATCATCAAACGTCAAGGCAAGCCGTCTAGTCCGGCTTCCTGACCTGTCAACATGGATGATGTAAACGAAAGAACACATCAGCTGCAGGACAACTGCCAAACAGCATTCACATTTTTCTTACTGTTTTGTTTTGCAGCTTTGCACCTTGTTTTGAACCTGTATCTCAATCTCATATGGCCGAGTTTACCCTTTCTTTTTTGGCATTAGACTATACTCTGGTGTAAATTATACATTATCATTGAAATAGTACTTTACTTTGCTATATTACAGTACCAGTACTGCATTATATTTTACTGCAACTGTCTAGAGTTACTCCAAGTCGTTCTAGACCGGTTTGTAATTTTCTAGACCGGTTGCTTTGATGAAGCTGTAGAGGTGTTCCCTTTAGTGTTTGTGTAAGTTTGTTTTTGTGCCGGTAGGCGAGATCCTCGCGGTTTGGTGGTGGACCGCTCAAGAGAACGGAACAGCAGAAGAGGGAACTTGCTGCTCACATGCGCTTTTGCAAGTTGCGAAAGAAAACACTGTCCCTGACCAAAAGCTTGGCAGCTGCCACCTGTAGTCAACCTAAGAAAGAGAAGAGATTGAACGCAAATGACACCTGCGCCATTGCATTTGGAACTTGCCAACGGCGGACATTTTTGGCAGAACGGTATGACCGTTCTAAACAAACCATTCGGAGAGCCTTTGCTTTTACAGGATTGACGGTGCTTGAGATCCAGCTCAAGCTCTTGCAGGATTTGAAGAATGTTGCTTTAGCAAAACCGCCAGACTTTTCAGCTGCTTCGCTTAGCTGGGATGAAACATCGCAGATTTTGTCACTGGAGTCTATGGACACAAAGGGTGGCCCAGTACTTCGGCACCAAACATCTTCCTCATGGGAAGTAATGGTATGCAGGCTGCACCTTGCCATCGGATGGATGAATGGCGTCAAGCTTTACCGTGAATTTGTCATTCCGCCACTCCCCCTGTCTTCCAACAGTGCTTCTAGCCTCAAGAATGCCTTGTTCAATCACCCGTTGACAGAATCGGTGTTGCAGTTTGTGAGTGAAATACTTGAAGCCAGCAAGCTGTCTGCCTGGATCCATGAGACTGACGGTCACCTTGCAAATGAAAAGCTTCATTTTGAGTTGTACCACAAGCGCCTTCAGGAATCTGAGACTCGCAAACCCAACAGCTTGCCATGTTTGACTGAACAGGTGCTGTGCCAAAATCATCAGGTGCAACTCACAGTCGTCAGCGCAGTTGACAGATCATTCCCAATTTGTTCTGCGCAACACTTTTTCTCCGAATGGGTGGGCATTTCGTGAGATTGCTGGCTAGTGTGCAGCTTCTAGTGAAGGAAGCCACCTTCTTTCATTGGATGCCAAATCCAACCATGGAGGAGTTGGCTGAGGGGCGACTATATTCCCACGAGTTAGTGCAGTACCTGATAGATAACTTGCGCCACAACTCTCGCGAGATGAGCGCAAACCGTGGAGGAGGACGCGGACGGACGGAGTTTAAGCCACGCCAAGAGACATTGTGGTTCGTCTTCGGTGGACTAAAGATGAATAACTTATTGTAACTGTAATAGGTTACATGAAAGTCACCCAACTGCAAGAAGGCTATAGGCCCTTTAGGCTACAGGCTAAAGTTTGATCCTAGAACTGAGTTAAACTAAAGGTTGACGATAGACTACTAGACTGGACTATATACTATACTACTATACTATATAATATATTATAAATTATATATTATATATATTATATAGTAAATATATTATATTGTTTTGCTTTTTGATTGTTATTCGTTTTATAATACATAGTACCGCTATTCAACATGTCAATAGACTATTTGATCTATTGATCTAAGCTAAGGCATGTGACAAAGCTGACTCACAAAAGTCACAAAGGGTGGACCAAGTGATAGATTAAGCGAGATTAAGTGGCCGACTGATTCATAATTATGATGCAGTGATGCGTTATGATACATCATGTCATTACTTACCTGATGTACTTTACGATGAGAGCTATTGTACTGGCCGAGGGCCATAGGTCAAGTGTCCTTTCTTTTGAGCGAGCTGAGTATTGGTCAATGGGCCCAATGTCTTCCCCAGGACAGTTGGGATGGCAGCGCGCAGCAAAAGAGATCAAGCATTGCTTCCAGAAAGTCCTGAACGGACCATATTGGGACCGCTCTCGGGTTGTGCATTGCTGCATTGGGGGGTGCTGCAGTACCCGGGAAGAAGCTGAATCCAAGGTGGCCTCTGCCATCTTGCGGGTGATCATGCGATGTGTTCCAGTCACGCCTTCACTTGCCGATTGGGTAAGACTTGGGCCGAATCTGGACTTCTTTTTGTGTGCAGAGTTCCAGGGGATTCTGACAGCGCTGCTCCTGAATGCTGAATGGGCTATGAACCTTCCACAACAAGACCTTACTGGGGAAGTTGTTTTTGTAGAGTGGAGGAAGCTAGCAGGGAGCCGGTTTCACAGAACCCGACATGTCTTGGTCAACGCTGCAGAAAGATTTCAACGGGTTTTGCTGGCAATCGTCATGGAGCCCTTGCGCCATTTACACTCTGCTTTCTTGAGGCATGCACATACAGCTCCGGACGACCAGGCCTGGCCTCTACTTTTGGCAGAAATGTGGGGGCCCTCAAGCAAGTTCATGATTGTACTTCAATACCTCAGTGCACTGCTAGCTGGAGACGGTAGCAGATTGCGACTCATGTGGCAGTGGGACGGGTGCACTTCGATGTCACACTGGCTTGCTGAACATCCAGACCAGGGCCGGCAGGCCAGGAACCTCATCTTACTTGTGGCTGGAAGTGTCCACAGAAGATTTGCTACCACACTTTACCGGTTCCCGTTTAAGCTCTTTTCTGTGGCAGACGCCAGGAGGTGCGACCATGAAAGTGTGATCAATGAGTTCTATAGCAAACCATTTTGTTGCCTTCAGCCTGGGTGTGCTCGAGAGATCAGAAAGACGATACCACGAGAAGAATTCGTGGAGCGTTTGCCACATTTTAGGTGGTTTTCTTTGCTGATGACTTTTATCACAAAGGCCACAGTCGCAGGCGTTGAAAGGCGCCACGCCACGCACAAACAACAAGCCAATCGTGGTATGCCATTTCATATGTTTGCTGCTGGATCGATTGTGTCTGAGTGTAAACAACAAGCATCAGCTGTGGATCGCATGAAGCAGGAGCGCTGGGAAGCCCAACAATCAGAGAGACTTGAAGAAGGTCTCGAAGCTGACAGTGCTGGTCAAAGCAAGGCCACAGCACGTCGTTCATGGAGACGGGACAAAAAAGAAGACCGATTGATTCGAGCATCCTCAGCCTTGGATATATTCAAAGTCGAATGGCACCGCAGAGAGAAGGCCCTTGGAAGGAATTGGAATTCAGCGTCAGCAGAATGTTGGGCAGCCTGCAAAGCTGCTTTCACAGAGTTGCCTCAGAATCAGAGGGATGTTTTCTGTGCCCGAGCAAATGCAAGCAAAATTCAAGCTGCCGTGAACAGAAAAATAATCGCAAACAGGGGCAGCCCTGATGCAGACTTGGAAGGTGGTCCTGATACAAATCTGCATTTGCCAGAGGCGGACTCTTTGGCCATCATGATCCAGAACGACACCATGCCTAGCACAGTTGTGCGACAGCGCAAACCGCCGATGCCCAAGCACCTTGCGGTCCAAAGCTTATTGGCTCCATTTCTGCAGCAAGCTCAGGATGGCAACGATGGCATTGCAAAGCAACGGTATCCCATAGATCCTGCAGAGCTGCGTGCCAGATCCAAGGCACAAGGTGGCATGCGGAAAGCAATCGAAACGTTTGAGAAGCAGGCAACCACTATTGCCGGTGGCGAAGCTGTGCCCGACAAAGTTGTGTACCCTGGTTGGTGCGGAGCTTTGTGCCGGATGCAAAACACCCAAAGGACGGTGAAGCTGCGCACAAATGTTGTTGATGCCCTTCAGCGCATTGTTCGAGATTCCGGGTTGAAACCTGGCTGGTTCTCTCAAGCGTCCATTGTTTTGGCAGCAGAGCAGTACCAAAGCCTCGATGATCCGACCCCCTGCAATGTTACCTTCTATGCACTCATCCATGCGTGCGGGCGCCAGGCACATCACAAAGCCCAAGTGACCCTTGCGGAGCTGGAGTCATTGTTTTGCCCTCCGGGAATCCAGGCGGTATGGTAAACGCATTGGGAAACTGTTAACTGTTATTGCTTGCCACCTGTTTGTATGATACCAAATCAAAGCAACAACATATATCATATGATCATATAATCATATATTTATATGAACCATATGATTCATATATGATATCATATGATATCTTATGACTCATGCTCTGTGATATGATAAGTCATCAGTCGATGGAAACTATGACTCGACCATGACTTGACTGTGACACTATGATGTCTCCATGACTCTAAGTCTATGACTCTATGACTAAGACTACGACTATGGCTCAGACTATGACTATGACTCGACTCTAAGTCTATGGCTTGACTATGACTATGAGGCCCATAGGCAACCAAGGGGCCTCAATAGGCCATAGCCCAGATGGAAGTGGACCCATCTTTCCTGCTCCCCCGTTTTTGACATGTCACCATGCGCTAGGCCTTCGGACCGGGCTTGCTACTGCGTCACAAACGGCATTGTTTTACAACGCCGCTGAAGTCCCCCAGACGACCATTGAACCAAGGGCAATGTGGCAGGCTCTTCGGGCGCAAGAAGTCTAGAATTGAAATGGTACCAAAAGATAGACTAGAAGCTGGACTTGACTATACTATACGTCTTTTGCCATCAAATAAACGTCAGTTTTGGCAAATAGTAGAAGAACCTCAAAGTGAATGTAGGGTTTTGAAGTTTTGAAGTTTTGAGCGATGGGCCTTGAATGGTTGGTTCAGCTTGGTGTGTTTCGGCAGGCTTGCCTGCATCTCTGAAGATGAGTTCGCTGCGGCCATGTGTTTTGAAGGAGATTTGCCCACCGAGAAGGTATGTCTCACATTGTTGACTTGGAAGTTCCCTGCTCATGGGGAGCCACGCCTTGACACCTATGAAGTGATTGGGGTGGGGGGGAAGTACGAGGCAGTCTGTTACAATACACGCGCCGGTGGCCGTGAAGGCCATAGAGATGATCCTGTTGAATACGATGGAATTTTGATGCTGGAAGACATCAGTATACGTTCGACCAAACGACGCCGTTCCGACACTGATCCTTCTGTTTTCTTGGAAGAAGAGCGGGATTTCATTGAAGAACTCATCAAAGAGCTTGAAGGCCAAGACATGTTAGCTCAGCCTTTGGACCATGAGACATCAGATGCCGAGCAAGAAGCAGGCGCGGAAGAACATGCCAATGCAGCTGCCGATGTGGCCAACCCCAACGCTTCTGGACCACAGGATCCGGAAAACACTGGCCAAGATGTCCCGAATGCAGCGGAAGATGGAGCAAGAGATCAACCTGTGCAGCCTGCGCAGCCAGAACAGCATGACGAAATTGTGATTTATGACAAAGGTGGCTGGGACTTTGCAGCTCGCGGCACGGATGTCAGTGTTGGGCGTTTACACCATTTGGGAGCTTCCTCTCTCAAAGCTACATGCAGAATCCACCGTGCATGTACTTGTGCTGTTTCCCTGCCCGAGATGGGGACAACAAGGCACACCCAGGTGACGCAACGGCTGGGCCGTGAGCCAACCTTTCAGGACATTGAGGCGGATCTTAAGGGATGGCTTGCTGAGGGCTTGAGGTGCGCCGCGGAAGGACATGCTCAAGGCAGTTTGCAGCTGAGATCTGACGTGTGGCTTATGAGGATTCGGAAACCGAAGGCTTGGTCCTTGTGCTGAGTTGAAACCTCCGAAGAAGTTAGAACATAACTTAACTATTTTTACATAAATTATAATAAAAATAATAAGATCTATTAAATATGTTATACAATTGGATTAGCCACTAGTAATAATAACGTTTTTGCAGCTCATTTGCCAACGACCGCCATTCAATGGAGTAGCTGAGTAGCTGTGAGACTTCCAAAGTAGCTGTGAGGTCATTGTCATTGTGTCATTGTTTATCTTAGTCAGTCTGCCCCAGACTTGTGACTTGTGTATGAGGCGTAGCAGTGACCAGCTGAGAAAACTTTCACTTTGGCAAAGGCCAAGGCGCGGAAAGTCAGGGCAAGGAATGGACCACATGTGCACATGTAGTGTAGCTGTAACACAGCTGAACAAAAACATTTCTAAAACTGTTCATTGATTGTCTTTGATGACAAAGAAAGTGGGCCCAAATGATTTGCCTCTTGCCTATGGATCCGGTGAAGCTGGACTGGACAAACCTCAACAACAAATCTCAAAAAAAGAGTCAGGCCATGTGGCCAAACCCTAAACCCTAAACGTCTCGGCATGAAATTGGGCAGAGTTCGGTTTACATCTTAAGTTATATAAGGACTTGTGGAAACTGTGCGGAAACAGTGTGAAAACTTTGCGGAAAACGTGTGGAAACTGTGCGGAAAAAGTGCGGAAACTATGCGGAAAAAGTGTGGAAACTGTGCGGAAACTTTGTGGAAAAAGTGCGGAAACTTTGCGGAAAAAGTGCGGAAACTTTGTGGAAAAAGTGCGGAAACTTTGCGGAAAAAGTGCGGAAAACTTTGTGGAAAAAGTGCGGAAACTTTGCGGAAAAAGTGCGGAAACTTTGCGGAAAAAGTGTGGAACATAGATCAATTAGCTGGTGCAAATATATGAAATTCTTTAATTTCTTTACGAAACTATGATTTTTGATGTTTTTTTATCACAGGAGTTGGTTTTGATTTTTCCACATTGTGATGTATTGTTACCACATTTTCCACACTTGGCATGACAGTTTTCCACAGTCTATGCCATTGTTGTCCACAATCTCTTGGACTTGTTTCCACATTTCTTGAGTGTGATTGCCAGAGTCTTCCACATTTGCATTCAGCTGTTTGCCACAACAGTTTGAGTCGTTCAGTTTGTGTGTAAGCTCAGATTTCCACAACTGGTCGGGATGGTCTCAGGGTGTTTTCCGCAGTCTTCCTTGTAGTGTTCTCTCGGCTTCTCGCATCGTATACCAGGCTATGTCTATACCAGTCCGCCTACCTGCTCCAGCCATTCTCCACACAATCGCTTTGGAGGACAGATTCAGAATTTCAACGATGAACATCTTACCTCAGTTGCCGAGTTGGGACCTCTTTTGTTCAGCAGTTCAGGTTAGGTCATTGGTCATTGTTTCAGCTCTCAGCATTGTTGTTGCGTGCAGTCATTTGGCCACATGTTGTGAGAACTGTAGATTGCACCTGTTGCCAGTGTTTGCACGCCGCTCCCGTTTCCGATTGGCAGATCAAGTGTGGGGCACCCATTTTAGGACTCCTTTGCCGTGCCCTTTGCCATGTTCATGTTCCTTTAGTAGTACAGTGATTCATGATACCGAGACGCAGCACAAGGAAGCGACCAGCAGCAAGCAGTAGTCATTTCAAGGAAGAGTCCGTTGACTCTTCCAGGAACGCCGGAGTGCTGGTGAAGCGGGAACAGCATCATCCGGAAGTCCAGGTAAAACGTGAACGAACAGAAGCGGTCGTGCGCAAGGCGGGGGGGAGCCAAACCCAGCGATGATCAGTCAGTGTCACTTCATTAGTCTTTAGTCATTGACATTGAGTCATGAGTCATTTACCTTACATTGAGTTTAGGCCCACGTTCAAGGTAGTATACAAAAGTCCTAGTATATCGTCGTTTGCTTTGTTGTTCTCTTTCCAGGTGTGCCTAAAAGAGGTTTGCCATAGTCAGCAATACACAACAGACCAATAATAAAAGGACATATGGACTGGACCATTCCAGAAACCACTATACTTATATACTTGTTCCAGCACTTTTGATAAAGCCGACAGGCTACCCGACCAGTTGCACCATCTCCCAGAAGCAGTGCCGACTCGGGCTCAACGACTTCAACGCAAAGGGCTTCAAGGGCCTTGCAAGGTGTGGAGAGCGCTGACCAAGAGGGCAATGACAATGCCGATGCCACTGGGCCAGAAACTGCAAATGCTGCTGAGCAAGATTTTGCAGAGGGTCCTGATCTGAATCGGGTTGACGCCTACAAGCCTGTCAGTGCGGGCACCAGTCCACAGGGCTATAGCAAGCCATCAACATCTTTTGTTGAGAACGGAATGTCTCAACTAGAGGACTTCATTTGCGAAGCCATTGGTCGACTTGATGATGCGACCAAAGCTGACATGCACTTGGCAGCCCAACGTTGTTTCCAGATTGGTACAGCTTGCAGTGGCACTGATGTCGCAGCTCTTGTCGTCAAGGGGTTTGCAAGAGCCTGGAGCAAAATCTCTGGGAAACATGTGGACTTCAATCACTTGTTCAGCTGCGAGCTAGATGACAAAAAGAGGGACTTTATCCACAAAATGTTCACTGGCACAAGTGATGCCTGCGATGTGCAGCTGCTTCTGCGGAACTCAGCAGATCTGATTTGTACTGACCCAAATGGCTACTATGATTGCTTGTCGGGCCAAAGCATCCGTGATGGCATTCCTGTTTGCAGCGATTTGATGGTGGGATTTCCATGCCAAGATGTTAGCAGATTGAACCCATCGGCCGAGAGTGCACGATGGGTCATCCGGGACAGTGGCCGGAGAACCGGCAAGGTCTTCAGTGATGTCATGGAGTACTGCAAGCGCGTTCTTCAAGATTCTGAAGCAAAGCAAGTGTTCCGAGGATTGCTATTGGAAAATGTTCTTGGGCTGTTGAGCCCGCCCAAGGGGACAAACCCAGAGACTGGGGAGTCATGGCATTCCAACCTTGACTACTGCGAACGGGCTGCCACAGGAGCTGGTCTGATCCTAATACCGTGCATTCTGGACCCAAAGATGTTTGGCATCCCCGTGTCTCGGCAGCGAGTCTGGATGGTATGCATTCCTACATGGATGGCAACGGCGGCCAACATGAGTAAGGAGGATGTGGTCCTGATGGCTCATCGCTTGCTTGACAGGCTTTGTGATGATCCTACAATTCCATGCAGGAGTCTCAATGACTTCCTTCTACCTGCCAGTCATGAACTGGTGAGGTCGCAGAATATCCTTGCCGAACAAAGCCGGAAAAAAATATTGGAGCGAGAGGCAAAGTCAATGGAGTCAAAGCTCAAGGGGGAGGAGAATGGCAACGCATCGAGAAAAAAGAGCGGACCACCCAAATGGGCGGATCAGCACCGCAAGGCCATGGAAAAGGATGGCAGGGATTGGTGGGAACCTTCCCATCCTGGAGATGCAGTTCTCCAAAACCATCCTGGACTTTATGCCCTGACAGAGCGGCAGTTTGATTAGTGCAAAGTGCTCAATATTTCCTTTCCGGACCAACGTGTGGCCACTGTGGAACTTTCACAGAACCTCAGAGGCTGTACAGCCAGGGACGTGAAGCACAATACCGCAGCTATCGTCACGCCAAATGGCCAACAGTTAGTTCTGCATCAAGCTCGCTGCCTCACTGGCTATGAAACGTTGCTTCTTCAAGGCATACACTACGGACCTGAGCAGTCAAGACTGGCTCAATTTTCAGACTCCCTCCTTCAATCTCTGGGTGGAAATGCCTTCCAGGCTCATTGCTGCGCGGTGATGTTCGTGGTGAAAGAAGCCTTGCTGGCCAAGTTGCAAGCAGCCGTTCATGTGGAGAAGCAGAGGCAGCATGTGGACAGGTCATGTAGAGGACGTGAGCCTTCCAAAAGGCTACGAAGCATGGATGAGTTTTGTGAATGGTCAGAGTGAGGGGCGGCATGCGGCATGGTAGTGTAGTGTGCAGTTGGAAGGATAGCAACTGGGCCCCTGGGCACTGTGGACACATGTTGAGACACATGTTTGACAAAGAAGTGTTAATCAGCCAACAAAGAGAACCGTCCTAGAGTCCTAGTCCTGGCCCTGTTCTTCCCCGTCTATGTTACCGCACAACAGTCTCAGCACATCAACTTACAGTAACTTACAATTCATGTAATCTATAAGTTGTCATATTCATCAAATATCATATAAACTAAATGAATCATATATCATATATCATCGGATTATCATCGTATACTATTCACTATTTAGTAACTATTCTATGTTTACTATTTCATATTATCATATAATTATAATATCAAACCATATCACGCTTTGTTGTATAACTTGATGTTCATGTTCGATGTGGTTGTCAGAATTTTGTCGATGTGCACAAATAGCAATAGAACCTGGAAGCCCGCTACGTTTCGCCAAGAAAAGAAGGCGGTCGCAATCAACTATCTTTTGCTTTCTCCTCCTTCACTTCTTCAGCAAAGCATTTGAGATAGTTTTTGTTTAACTCGGGCTCACACTTCTTTTAGATCTTTTATGTGTGGAATGCGGCATGCGAGTTATATGAAGTTATATGATTTGGTATGATATTTTCAGGTACGGGCATTCAGCATTCATTTGAATGAGCAATTTTTTACAGGCAGATATGGTTGCAGCTTACAAGTTGCCACTTTGGCACATTGACCGACACCTTGTGTAGCCTTTTTCAGTTGACTCGCGAAGCTCATAGCATAGCCTGCCTGTTACCTGTAGCTGTTGCTGACAGTGCCGGATTCTGAAGGTGCGCTTTCGCTGCCTTCACATGCATCTCAGAGCTCTTTGTGGGGAACTTCTTCCTTCAAGGGTTGCAGATTCTGCCGGCGAGATCGGACCTTCCCAAACCCTGTGGTACATGCACGGGATGACAAGCCTACTCTCCAGTTCAAGAGCGACAGGCACTCGGACTGCCTGCCCTGCATCGGAAAGATCCGGAAGGTCAATCCACAGGTCAGTTCCAGCAGTGAGTCCAGGAATGCGTATGCCAAGAGACTATCCGAAGATGATGCCACTTACTTGGAGCACATGACCGACCTGGGAACCTATGAGGAAACCCTCCAATCATCAAAGACCAAGAGACGCAAAATCAGCAAAGATGGCAGTGACAAGGAGCGACGTCAATCAAAGTAGCGTGTGTTGTGCGTCGTGGATGTTGGGCTTGCAGGAAGCTAAAAACAAAACAACAATTGATCGAATTCATGACTCGACTTAAGTATGGGAGGTGGTTCTGGTTACGTGTTTGGGTTGCCATTACAGACTTGGTGCATGATCCATGCTTCAACTTTTCTCATTGTAGTCAGTCTATGAGTCGAATCTATAGTCTATGAGTCTATGAGTCATGAGTCTATAGTTGTTCCGATAGTTTCTGAAACTTGAGCGCTTGCTCGTGCAACAATAAGGCGGAGACAGAGGTGGCGGATGAGATCATGGACGACCGTGAGACTAGCATCAACATGGCTCAGGAGACTGGGCTCGAGACTCGCAAAATGTTGGGTGTCCTGTGGCCAGTTCCTGTCTACACGCAGATTGTTGGTGAAGCCCCCAAGCCTGAGCAGCTGTCATCGATCAACATTGCTGGCGCGCAAATCTCTGGCGTCTTGCGAGATGCCAAGCATGGCAATCCCACAGGCCCTCTGCCAACCAATCAACAACCGGACCAAAAGTTGTTTGTTGTGTCTAATCATTTGTTCGGCGATTTGTCAACTTGTTGTGTCCAATCATTTGTCAACTAATCAGCACTATTACTAATAGCGGTTTTATCATATCAACATTGATGAGACAGCGGTTTTGATGAAATGCTATATATATATAATATATATTTTTGTTTATAGTATATATTGTCTATCGTCGATGTTCTTGCGACTGGAGAAGTTCTTTTGTTTTTTTCTGTTTCTGGCAGGCACCTACGAAGTTACTGACTTCAAGAGAGCCTATGGCTCTAGCGTCTTGAAGGCTGCATCGACGGAGACAGCTGTGGGCGCCAAAGAGGTTGACAACACTTGGAAGCACGTTCAGAACATCTCAACTGTGAGTACAATGGAGGTGCGAGCGGAAGTCGGTTCTGAGTTTGATGGTTTTCTTTCCGCGCATGTAACAGATGTAACATGCACATAGTAGCTGTGGACTGGAACTGCACTGTTCAAGTACAGGCATGTTGTACAGGCTATATAGCCCGGCTAGCTAGTGTAGGCCCACCATGGGTGCCCTAACCTACCATGTGAAGGTGGAGAAAGATGGAGTGGCCCACCTCTTTTTGGACTCAGCGTCGAGCGCCAAGCGTGGCAAAGATGACTTTGATGATCTTCTGGACTTTGCTCCGGCTATCTCCGCCGGCGGTGCAGGCGTATACCGTACATGTTACACACATGTTACATGTCTCTTTCAAGTCTTTCAAATTTAGTGTTTGCAGTGGTGAAGTGGTTGGTTGTGGGTAGGGTAGGTTTATAAATGGAACAGTTTTCAAAGGTTCTAAACGAATGGACTGCGAATATGTCACATGTCAATAGCAACAAAACAAACATCGACGAACTACACACACATGTCACATTGGCTGGGACATCACATTGCTCGTGAATCTTGCACGGGGCGGGGTTACCGTGCCATCACTCACCATACCATACAATATATAATAGAAATGAAGAATAATATATGTATATATATTATGTATAATATTATATATTTATTTACTACAAATAATATGTCATGAATCATATACGCACCAGTTCTGCCACAACCTTTGTGCAGGTCAGAAACTGCCAAAGCCTCGCCCAAAGCCAAAGGGTAAGCCGAAGCCGGGTCCGAGGCAAGGCGGCGGCGGAGGCGGAGGTGGTGATGGAAAGCTCACAAAACAAATGAAGGAGATCCAGAACTCGGATCGTGTGCTGCTTGAATGCAAGCAAACTTTGCAGAATCTAGGTTCTGATGAGGGCCTCGAGATGGTGCGGCCCAAGGCTGTTACCGGTTTGCTTGAGAGGCTGAAGAACCGTTTGACCCCTGCACTCTGTGGAATCTACACTCAGGGCTTTGATGCCTCGGACCCTAGTGCACCTGCATCCACCGGAATGATGTGCTTAGAGAACCTCCGGACCTACTCACGGATCTTGAGCGGAGTGCAGGACTGTGTTACTGTGTTTGTTGGTGAAACATTTTTTGGAGTTTGAGTCTCAGTCCAGCGTTCGTTTGCTGTTGCGGGTTACCACCTGACCTGACTGTAACACTAATTCTGCAACTTGTCTGAGCAGTCTGAGTCTTACTTTTGTTTAAAGATGTCCACCATTCCAATTCCTCTTTTTGCAACATGGTTTTGGTGTTGGTTTAGGCATTGGCCGGATATCGAGATTGACCGTGACACTGATGCACTGATACTGATGCCTGTTGTTGTGCTTTTTGTTTACTGTACAATTTTGCTATGATTGCGCTCATGGGAGGATCTTGTGAACGTATTGCACGACCAGAAGGTGTCAGGTGAAGAGCTCTGGAACAAAGCCAATGAGAGCAAAAGCAAAGACTTCGAACCTCCAGCGAAGCTGTATGAGTTGGCTCTTCAGCGTGAAGTGGCTTGTCTTGGCAATGATCAAGCAAAGTCAAAGAGATCAAACAAGAAGTTAAACATATCGGAATGATGGTATAAAACAATAATAATATAGTAACTATAGTAACTAGAGTAACTAGTATATAAATAATATAATCAATTTAATCAATACCATTACAGTGCTAAGTGCTAATGACAAGAGCCCTGTTCTACGGCTTCAAGTTTAATTGTCCCAAGCCCTTGTTCCATAGCCACGTATGATGGGGACTGACCAAGAAACCACAGACTAGATCTACACACTACACAAACACACCAACAACCAATTTGCCACAGGAGGAAAATTTTGAGAGCGGATTGCGCTGGGGGGTGGGTTTTTAATTCATAGGTTTTTTAATGATTTCTCGCTTATTGTTTGTTAATGTACAGATGTGAGGCATTTCCAGATGATTGGAAGCAGATGATGCAGTTGCAAGATGTGTTTCTACTTTCTTTTGTCAGAGCCAGCGTGACAGTAAAGAAGATGATTTTTGGAAGAATGCATAAGGATACTACCACAGTCAAATCATCTGCTGCAGACAATGCAAGCAAGGAGTTGGCGCTAAGACATCTCATTTTTCCGCGCTAGTTCTGTTCCAAAATCTAGTTCTAGCAAGCATATGCTTTGCTTACCTTAGACACAGCTTTCTTGAACTTGTTCAAGTAGCTGGCCTTGTTTTCAGCCACAGCTTGGTTGTGCAATTTGGAAAAGTACAGCACCTTAAAAGTGTGGCGAATTGCACGTGCCTCATTCAAAATCCGTGCATAATTGCGAAACCAAGAGAAAACTTGTTCGCAAGCCGACGTATTTGTCTTCGCAAATCGCCGAGACAAACGCTTGACGTAGAGTGGATTGTACACGCAAGTCTTCTTGTGCCTGTGGGCGTGGAACTTGTCAAGG